TTATATGAACTTCCAGAAAGAAATAAGGTTATGTTTACTAAAGGTTTTTTTCTGCACTAAATCACCATAACAGAGTGAAGCAGCAGATGATCCAATGAATCCCATCTCTGCCACTTGATCATTATTTGTTGGCAAAGTTAGTTAACACTCTAAATCTCAGGTTTCTGATAAAATAGGGATTGTTGTTAAGAGTAAATAACATACACAATGCCCTGAAATTTATCTTAATTCATCAGTCTTACCCTTTGAAGAATTAAAGTACTTATCTAGGCCCGATGGGTGATAATTAGGGTTATTACTAAACTAGAGGCCCGATGCACAACATTTGTGCACTGGTGTGTGTGTGTGGGGGGGGACGGGACTGGTGTCCCTCAGCCCAGCCTGTGCCCTCTCGTAGTCTAGCACTGCCATGGAGGCAGGAGAGGCTCCCGCCACCGCTGCTGTGCTTGCCAGCTGTAAGCTCTCTGGCAAGCCTGGCTTCTGGCTGAGTGGCACTCCCCCTGTGGAAGCACACTGACCACCAGGGGACAACTCCTGCATTGAGCATCAGACCCTTGGTGGTCAGTGTGTGTCGTATCTACCGGTCGTTCCGCTGTTTATTTGCATATTAGCCTTTTATTACATAGGACAGTGATTTTTTTAAAGGATCACAGATATGGATGGTAATTCTTACCAAAACTGATCTATCATTGTCAGGAATCTTATAACTATTTTACATATATTATACAACATAATATTCATAATAATGCTAGGGAGTTGATTTTCTATTATTTTGTATATAACAAAGTTGAGTATTAGGAAGTTTAAAAACTTGCCTAAGGTCACAAGGGATAAGCAGTAATGCCAGATTTGGACGTAAGTGTTCTGTCTCCAGAACGAGTGATCTTAATCACTTCACTAGAGAAAATTTTTACTGAAGAGATATATTTAAAAACAATAACAACAGAAATAATAGTTTTATCAGCAAATAGTGATGGGAAACTGGATGAAAAAGGAAGAAACTGGACTCCTGCAACACACCACATATAGATATTAACTAAAAAAAAAAGATTAATGACCCAAATTTAAGAGTTAAAATCATAGGACTCTTAGACGAATACACAGGAATAAATCTGCATGATCTGGTATTTGGCCATGGGTTCTTAAATACAACAGACACTAAGAGCATACGCAACAAAAGAAAAAATAGATAAATGGGACTTTGTGAAAATTAAAACTTGCATGTATCAGAGGACATTATCAAGTAAAAAGACAATCTACAGAATGGGATAAAATATATGCATATTATATATATGGTAAGAGTCTATTTCCCAGAATATATAAAGAACTCTTACAATTCATAAACAAAGACAAACAACACCCTTAAAATTGGGTGAAGGATTTAAATAGACATCTCTCTGAAAATATACAAAAAGCCAATAAACACATGAAAAAGATAGCCGATATCAATCATTAGCTATTAGGAAAATGAGATACCAGTTCACATCCACCATAATGGCTATAATCAAAAACAAAAAGGGAAAACGCCAAGTATTGGTGAAGATATAGAGATTGGTACCCTTGTACATTGCTTGTAGGAATGTAAATTATTTCAGCCCCTGTGGATAACAGTTCAGTGGTTCCTCAAAAAGTTAAAAAACATAAAATTATCATATGACCCAACAATTCCACTCCTAGGTATTTACCCAAAAGAATTCAAACAGGTACTTAAACTAATACTTCTACATAAATGTTCATAGAAGTACTGTTCACAATAGCCAAAAGGTGGAAACAACCTGAATATCCATGAACAGATGAATGAATAAACAAATTGTGATATATATGTATAATGGAATAGTATCTATACACTAGAGGCCCAGTGCACAAAATTCATGCATTGGTGGGGGGTGAGGGGGGGACTCAGTCCGGCCTGCGCCCTCTTGCAGTCTGGGGTCTCTCAGGGATATCCAGGAGCCCTCGCTCCTTACCGCCTGCCTGCTCGCTGCTCCTTACCACTCTGCTCTCTGTTCCTTAGTGCTGCCATGGACGTGGGAGAGGCCCCCACCACCACCACTGCATTCACCAGCCGTGAGCCGGCTTCTGGCTGAACAGCATTCCACCTGTGGGAGTGCACTGACCACCAGGGGGCAGCTCCTGCATTTGCATTCCACACCCTGTACAACAGAAACTTTGCAGAGTGCCCCCTCTCACTCCGGGACCCCCTGGGGGATGTCAAAGAGCCAATTTCGACCTGCCTGATCCCTGCAGGCCAGGCCAAGGGACCCCACCTGCTGGAGGGACCCCACTTACTTTGCAGAAGCCAGGGAAGGACCAAGGGAGGTTGGCTCCAGGGTGTGTCCGGCCTGTCTCTCCCAGTCCCGCCCCGCCAGTCACCTTCTAATTAATTTTCTTTCAATGTGTACGAATCTGTGCACCGCGTCACTAGTTTAGTTATAAAAAGACACAAAGTACTGATAGTTTTATAACATAGATAAACCTCAAAATGCTATGCTAAGTGAAAGAAGCCAGATATAAATGGTCACATTTTATGATTATACCCATTTGGAATACCCAGAATAGAGAAATTCATAAATACAGAAAAACAGATTGGTATTTGCCAGGGTTGGGGAGAGTGGGAATGATGAGTCCCTGCTTAATGGGTACAGGGCTTGATTCTAAAGTGATGAAAATGTTTTGGAACTACAGGTAATGGTCATACACCACTGTGAATGTATTAAATTCTACTGACCTTTTCACTTTAAAATGGTTAACGTTATGTGAATTTCACCTCAACTAACTGCAACAAAGCCAGCAACCACTATCCTTTGTAATGATGGAGCATCACAACTCATGTTCTACACCAGTGGTTCTCAACCTTCCTAATGCCGCGACCCTTTAATTCAGTTTCTCATGTTGTGGTGACCCCAACCATAAAATTATTTTCGTTGCTACTTCATAACTGTAATTTTGCTACTGTCATGAATTGTGATGTAAATATCTGATATGCAGGATGTATTTTCATTGTTACAAATTGAACATAATTAAAGCATAGTGATTAATCACAAAAACAATATGTAATTATATATGTGTTTTCCGATGGTCTGAGGCAAAGTTTCAAAACATATAATAGAGAAATGAAATACATAAATACATCACATATTTATATACTGTATATGAGGCCCCTAGAACCACAAGAAAGGCAAAAAATTCACTGTTAATAACTCATTTTCAAATTGCCCCCCTTAAAAATCAAATTGTCCCTCTGTGAGGCATGTGCCCACATTGGGAACCACTGGTCTAAGGTTACAATAGTACTAAGCAATAAAAGTATCCACCATATTAATAAGTTTAATAAGTTAAATTGTGGCCAGATCACTGACACAGGTGCAAAGAAACTGCTGAAGCCTGGATTGCTCAGATCTAGAATTCTAATAATACACACTTTTTCATTTCTAGGATGTGTATGTATTTATGTGTGTATATATATGTGTGTGTGTGTGTGTGTGTGTGTGTATGTATATATATATATATCTCCTGAGTTCCTGGAACAGAGCTCACATAATCCTTGGAAATTCCTGAGTGATAGAAATGTCTTTTGACTCAGGAAGGGGCGGGGGTGGGGGTGGGGGGGCTTAGACAAGGTCAGGATGGGGCTGGTTACCAAATCAAATACTTGATTAGAGGATGGGAACTTTCAGTCTCAGCCCTCAGGAGAGGGGAATGAGTGAAAACTGGGTTTTTAAAACTCTTGAACAAAGAGACTGGTAGAGCTTCTGGGTTGGTAAACAAACGGACAGGCTGGGAAGGTGGCATGCCCAGAGAGAGCATGGAAGCTCTTTCTCCCACCCCCTCAATACCTTCCTTCCATTTGACCAATTGTTCTTGAGTTTTATCCGTATAACAAACCAGTAATAGTAAGTAAAGCACTTTCCTGAGTTCTGAGAGTTTTTCTAATGATTCTCAAATGTGAGGAGAGAGTTGTGGTGACACCTGAATTTATAACAAGTTAGTCAGAAGTAATGGTAGCAACTTGTTCCTGGAATATTAAGTGAGGACAGTCCTGTGGGACTGAGCCCTTAACCTGTAGAGTCTGTGCTAACTCCAGATAGATAGTGTTACAATTTAACTGAATTGCTGGATACACCCAGTTAGTGTCAAAGAATCAGAGTAAAGGTTATAGATATCTTTGTTGAAAAACCAAGTATTATGAAGTGGGCAAAGTGGGGTGGAAATGGGGGATATCTGTAATAGTGTCAGTAACAAAAACGAAACAGTTTCATGACATGAAATTTTAACAAAACATAATACAATCAAATAGTTTTACTTCCCCTTTCTTAATTTTATGTAAATATGTGTACCATAACTGTCACTGTATATTAGAGAAGGAAAATAAAGAAAATTAACTACTGCAAATTCCACAGCCTATTGTTAATAGACTATTAATATTTAAACATTTCTAAGCTATAAACTGAAAGCATATAATGTTATACACTAAAACACAGTCATAATATTTTAAAACACATTATGGTAAGTAGAAAAAGGTAGTAAAATATTTTCATATGAAATGATAGGTATATCCTATAAAACGAACAAATTGCTCTTTAATTTTTAAAAAATAATCTCTATACTAAACCCACATTTAATTATTT